GAAGGGCACATGTCATAGTAGAGGCGCGAACATAGCATGTCACGCAATCCCATCTATATCGTGTACATGTACGTACATCCAGGGTGCAAGAAAGTAAATACGTCCATGTACGTACATACGGGCGGGGTCTCGAACGCCTACTCGCGCATACGTATGGACATGGCTCGTGTACATGGAGAGGCAGCAGAGAGCAGCGACGGCGTCCTGTTCATCGGCAGCTAACCGGCTGGGTCGCAGCGGAGAAACTGCGTCATGTTCATCGGGAGGCAACGAAATGCGTCTTATTCATCGGGAGCCAACCGGCTTGAACGGAACAGCCGAAACGAGGCTTGGCGTACCACAGAACGGAGGAAACGGCCTTCTGTTCGACTGCCTACGCTAGAAACGGGATCCTGTTCACCAGGAGGGGTCTGGCGTACCACAAAACGGGAAAATAGACTTCTCTTCGACCTCCTATGGTCGAAACAGGGTCCTCTTGATCGGGAGGGGTGTGGCGTACCTCAAAACAGAGGAAACAGACTTCTCTTCGACCTCCTATGGTTGAAACGGGGGTCCTATTCATCGGGAGGGGTGTGGCGTACTACAAAACGGGACTCCACGGGCTACTCTCCATCCACCGTCTACTGCCTCGCTCCAGCCTCCACGAGCTACTGTTCATCCACCGTCGACCTCCTCCAACCTCCACCTGCGACTGTTCATCCACGACGTCTCCTTCCTGCCTCCACCAGCTATTGTTCATCCATGGGCTCCTGTTCATCTATCCTCCACTAGCTACTATTCAACCACTCCTCCACGGGCTAATGTTCATCCAGCCCTCCACCGGCTACTGTTCAACCAGCCCTCCACGGGGTCCTGTTCATCCACCCCCAACCGGCTCGATCAAGGTCCTGTTCATCCAGCGGCAACGACCTCTAGCTACTACCACGGGGTCCTGTTCATCCAACCCCCACCGGGAACTGTTCATCTAACCCCCAACAACACTCATTGTTCATCAAGAGGCAGCAGGTTCGATCGGCTTCAGTTAGCAACAGTAGCGAAGGAATCGCTCGATCGGGTTCAGTTAATAGCCAGGGATCGATCGATCGCTCGGGTTCAGTAACGCGTACCCAGTGCAATCTCTCGGGTTCAGTAGGCGAATTCCTTGCTCGGGTTCAGTTAGAGCCTAACGCCTTGCACCCACGCGCGTACGTGTATGAAAGAAACGTGCAATCCCTCTATGCATCGCTCGGCCCCGACCACCCATCGTAACCGGGAACTCCCTGATATTTTCCTCTCCCTCGCTTCTACCACGCCTTTTTCCTTCATGGACGGCCCAAAGAATTTCATGAAGCTGCGTCTCTGGCCCGCCTAGGACGAAAAGCCCATTTTCTGTCATGATTTTTTGTCATAGAAGTAGGAGCCCACCACATCTATGATGATACCGGGTTTTGTCATAATTATGGTCATAGAAGTGTCATAAGCATGACAGGAAAAAAATTCGTTCGGCCCAAAATGTCACGGATGTGTCTTTTTTTGTAGTGAACAATCATGCACAATAAAGTGCAGAGAAGGCTCAATTAATATTCATGAATGATCTGATCATAAACCCACAATTCATCGAACCCCATCAAACACACCACGAAAGAAGATTACATCTGATAGAACTTCAAGAACATCAAGGAGAACATTGTATTGAATATCAAAGAGAGAGAAGAAGTCATCTAGCTACTAGCTATGGACCCGTAGGTCTGTGGGAACTAATCACGCATCATCAGAGGACAACAAGGATGATGTAGAAGCACTCCCTGATCGATTCCCCCCTCCAACAGAGTACCGAAAAAGGCCTCCAAATGGGATCGCGGAAGAACAAAAACTTGCGGCAGCGGAAAAAGTGTTTTGGGTGGCTCTCTGTTGGTTTCCTGATTTTAGAGAATCTATGAAGGTGGAATTAGGTCAGACGGAGCCATGAGGGGCCCACAATGGTCTCCTCCCAAAGCTTCCATGGTCTCTCTTGTCCAGAAAAAAATCGTCAAAAAGTTCTGTAGCATTTGGACTTCGTTTGGTATTGATTTCCTGGAAAATCCAAAATAGGCAAAAAAAAAACAACAACTGGCACTAGGCACTGGGTTAATAGATTAGTCCCGAAAAATAATATAAAATAGCATATAATTGCATATAAAACATCTAAGATTTATACTATAATAGCATGGAACAATAAAAAATATAGATACTTTGGAGACGTATCACGTACATACCAATAATTCACAAGGAGCCAAAATTACTGCGACAAACTTGTCACCGGCTGAGAGAATCTACGTAAGCTCGAAATGTGTTGGTAGCAAACGGCCCGTCGAACTTGATGGGCGCCGAGATCTGCAGCACCACAAAGTCGTACTGCGTCTTCTTGAGGTCCTTGGCGAAGGTGGTGTCATAGGTGTCGCTGGGGTGGCATCAGATGTGAGGCCGAAGCCACTGCCCTCCAACTTGTCCATCTTGACGCTTCCCATGACGCTGGTGGCCGTGCCGCCCATGGCCTGGTAGAAGGTGTTGGTGAGCGTGTCGGCGCCAGCAGGGAGGGCCTTGAGCTTCTTAACGTCCTGGTAGTAGAGCAGCGAGTGGAGGCATAGCGCTTCAATGGTGGCCACGGCAAACTAGTCTGACGGCGGCGTGGCGAAGTAGTCCCACTAACTGTGTGTTATGTGCAGATGTTAACTCTTAATCATATCCTGTGTATACAACCAAACACAGTGTAGTTGCGTGTGTTGAGCCAATGCAGGACACAAAACACCGTGCCAAAATCGATCCCCTAATGCATGCAACCTCGATGTGGGCAACCAAACTAAGTGCAGATGTTGATTTTTTGCTTGTTTCTGCTCAACTAGGCTGAAAGTGCGACAAGTATGCAATGCAGACATTTTTGAAGATGACAACCAAACACGTCACTAGTGACCGGCGAGCTCCGTGTCTGCTGCCGCGCAACCTGGAGAACATCATCGAGATGCGCAAGCTCTGGCTCACGGCTCGCGATGGAAAAGTGATACAATGGTGACGCACGACGACACACTCTCCCGAATCTGAGCCCGACCACTACAAATTGGAGCTCGGGCTCACGACAAGCAATGTCGAAGTCACACAATTCTAAGTGAAGAACAAGTGTTGCCTAATCCATCCATCCCCGCCTTTTCATGCCACATAGAAAATCCTTGTTTGGATACAGCCTTGAGGTTGTAAACAACTGGTATCGAAGAGTACATGGTACAAACTTCAAGGATTTGGAGGTGAGGGTTTGTTTCTAACAAACTCTACAACCTTAGGGTTTAAATCAGACTTCACTCACGGGGTGATCATCTTCAATTCATGCAGATTCATCCAAAGATGTGCTAGCATGCTGGAGGCTGAGGTTTCGTCGTGCATGGAAGGGGTGAGTCTGGCCATGGAGTGAAGCAGTGAGCCTCTTATTATTGAGACGAACTATAAGACAGTGGCCATAGTATCAGCAACCCTACACCCACTAGGTCCCTGTTACATCCTTGGTAGGAGCGACCAGTCAACTCCTCGATAAAATGACTACATGAAATAAAAGGCATCGGGCGTGAGCAAAATAGGGCAGACATGTACTCGCCGAGATGGGCCGGTCTTTAATTAAAACAATTGTTTGGTTCCGATCGGCCCCTCATGAAGTTGACATCATTTGTTAACAAGATTGTTAATGACATTTTTTTGCGGGAATCTATTCATCATGTCATGATTGTTCAAAGAATACATAAATAATAAAAATTGCATTGTGCATAGATAACCTAGCGACGACTACAAGTACTAGAGCGTGCCGCCATCATCACCCCTCCCTCACCGAAGCCGGGCCAAACTTGTTGTAGTAGACAGTCGGGAAGCTGAGTACTCCCTGTGTACCGGTGCATTAGGCACATTACGAAAGTCAAATGATCCCCAAATTCTTAGGCGCAGTGCATTAACTCTCATCTCGTTTCTTGTTTCTTGACATAAATAAAGGAATCAACCAATAAGAGATATGGGGTGTGTATACTTTCAATGACTTTTTAGACTACCTAACATGGCATGCAGTGGTCAACTCATTGCATCCAATAGTATTAATTAGCAAATAAACATTTAGTTCTCTCATTTTCCCCTCAACCTTGTCACGTGCACAACCTAAGATAACTAATGCACTGATAAATGAAATTGATTGTTCATTTTGACACCGCAAGACCAACTTCAGCTTCACGCGCTGCCGTCTAAATTCATCTTTCATCTAGAGAATTTAACCCCCGGAGTTTCCTAAAAAAAGAAGAATGTAACCCCCCGGAGTA